ACTCGATGATTTTAGAGGTCTTTTCCAACTTTAGTAATTCTATGATTCTATGATTCTATTCTATGACATACAATGTTAGATTTACGCTTGAGCTAGTTTATAAACTAAGTAGTTCCACTGACATCAGTGAGAGCACTCAGCATGTGTAAAATCAAGTGCATGAGGGACAAATCTCATCATGCCCACACATACCCAGATTTCTCATCATCCCCTCTTACATGTGCTTGTAACTTTCCCTTGTATCTTCTTTTATAGTGTCTCAATAATTAAGAATAATGATTTGTTACTGTAAATCAAAAATTCCTACAGTTTTATGGGATAACAACTGAGCAGCTGCTGAGGTAAAAAAAATCTTATTTCCCATTTATGTACCAGAATTACAATGTGCTGTTTGTTGGGGAAAAACCAGCAACAAGTACAAGTAGCAATTCAGCTATTCCAGGAAATTCCTACTCATCCAAAATAAATCCTTCTCATAACGTGGTATACCCATGGCAGAATGCTGTAAAAAGTTCAGGCAAATATATTAATGCAAACTCCAGATGACAGTTCATTTTGGTCCATTTCTGAGACCACTTCTCCTTTGCTGTCCACAAATTTTCACATTTTTAGTGGCTGTTCAGTTGCTTGATCAGTTGATTTTCCCAGGAATGATGTAGTTAACTAATATCAGTTGGTCATACCTATCCTAAACCTCTAACAGTGCGGACCAGCAAGAACTGACCCACTGTATGGATGCAGCAAGAAGTTAGATTTAGAAATTGTGTGTAAAGCAATGTAAATTAGACCCTCCTTTCACACAGGTAGAATGAGTTTAAGATAATCTGAAGCTGGTGTAAAGGGAACCTAATTTACAAAAAAAAATCTGTAAATTTTGTCAGTGAATGCAAGTGAGCTCCTATATATACTATGGGGAGAAAAAAGGAATAAGCATTAAATTAAGATGGATTTCCCTGCACTGAGCAGATATCAAAACTGTTTGGCTAACAGAGGTGGGGAGAATTCATAACATGCTTGGAATGCACCAATAGAATTGCTTAATATAGGGCTTGCATAAATAAAATATGGCTATATGTGGCTTAAGATGGGTTGACAGAAGTCAGAAGTTGCTTCAGAAGACGTGAACTAGTAGTGCAATAGGAAGACCTGCCTGTCATTACCAAGGCTCAGATTTTACACATTAATAGCAGGAGTTGAGGTGCCCTCAGAAAGTCAATCCAGACCACCTCACCTCCCGCAGTGGGCTCAGACCCACACTGGGCTGAACCAAGCACACCACTGGCAGGGTGTATGTGTCTCTGAGGGCTATATAGGAAGCCCAGAATAAAAGCTGTCTCAAGTACATTATTCATGCTAAAGCTAAGTGGGGTGGGCCTGTGGTGACTAAACAGATCTTTAAAATGAGAAGGCTGCTTCCCCCTCCGCCCATTGCTGCCCAGCTGGTTGGGCAGCGGGGAGCAGCCGGGGAGGGCAGGCGGCTCTGGTGCTCCACCATGGTACCTGACACGAGGAAGGACTCCCTCCAGCGCGGCAGTGACAGGGATCGGACCCCGTTGGAGAAGCTCCCGCGGTAACCAGAGTGGCCAGCGACTTTCTGAACGAGGATCTTCCCACCTGTGTTGTCGATTATACCACTGTAAGGGAAAAACATGGTGTCTGAAGGCGGAAATTCCCCCCAGGAACTTAGAAACTGTTCAACAATGCAAGAGGTATGAAGTGTTCACTTTTACCTTTAAACCAGGGGCTGTAGTGGAGCTGTGATGCTACTACTAAGTCTGCTGCTAAGAAATATTTGTGCTTCTTCCACATAGAGAAGAGCAGTTCGTTACAAAGTGCTGTTGGGATCTGTTTGCTCTTCCCACTCATCTACTGGTCCTGTGTTTAAGGATGACCTAGTTGCAGACAAGAACAAGCTACTGCCTTCGTTAAAATTCCTGCAAGCTTGATTGAACGACTGAAGATACAGGGAGAGGTACTCAGAGGAGTCTTCAGGCTAACCATGTGACAGAAATACAAATTTGAGGCAAACCTCCCACTCCCTTGACTTTTTCTTTTGTAAAAAATGAATATTTTCTTTGAGTTCCAGTATGTGTTATCTGCAAAAAACTAAGCCTGGTTCTGACCTCAGCCTGGAGTAAACTGAACACAGTATTGCTGGAAGCTGTAGAAAACCTGGCAGGCTCCATGAGCGGTGCACATTAAATGGTGTTTGACATATGATATAACACATATCTCCAGACAAACAGAAAACCTGCAGTGTATGCAACCTGCTGTGGCATCATTAGGAAAGCAGGCAAACTAGGAAGGGACTGCGACTCTAGAGGGGTGGTAGGACTGGCAATAATGACACTGCACAGGAAAATAAGTAATGGGCAGCAAACAATGGTGAAGAATATGTTAGAGCTGTAGCTTTCTCTGACGATTGCAAGAAGCTGCTGGTAAAGTAACTGTAAGGAAAAGAAATGCAACATGTAAGCTAACAAAGCCAAACCCAGCTGGCCAATGAGGAAAACGGAAACCCTCACTGCCACAATACAGGCAGCCAGCGTTTGAACTACGGGAGAAATCGCAGTCGCTATCAGAATCTTGTAACTTCCCTTTGGGACAAGCTCGAGACAAAAAATTTCCATTGTGCACTAGCATCTGAAGGAAGAATTTGTCGCTTGCAAGCCAGTCACCTGGCAGTCATCTCCCCAGCAAGGGGCTGAGCAGCAGACAGAGCTGCAGCCAGGAGGTGGCAGCCCTATGCACCCAGGCACGTTAGCCTGGGCACTGCGCAGTGCAGAGGTAAGGTGTAAAGTCCCAAAGCCTTAACTATCCAACTTTATTCAAGTTCCCAGCTATTTCACAGAACTGAAAGCACTGCAATAGCTTGAATATCTCCGAAGGAAGTCAAGTTGTCAATCAGGCTTTATAAGTTCTTACTGCATTTTCAGCTGAATGCATCCCGCCTCTGCATCCTGCCTACAATTACGGTGTGTTTTGGTTGTGAAGTTATTCTCCACTTAAATTTTATGCACATTTTTGCATGGCTAATAAAACTTGGCAAAATTTGTGCTATAAAATTTTTATTATACGTTTTCTTGTCCAGTGTCCTTTTCTGTGGCAGGAAAGCCCATTACTCAGCCTTTGATGTCAAAGACAATCAAATTCAAATCTGGAGAACCAAAACCAATCCCAGAAGTATGAGAGTTATATGTATTCATCACTGGTGATATGCCTATTTCTGAAGCTTTATTAGTAGCAGCAGCTTCATCCCTATCTTCCACTTGAATAATAATAGTACAATAGTAATTTGCTATGCATGAGAGATCTGCAAATCTCAAGGCACTTTTCCAAAGGTTGAGAAATGTCTTCAAACACAACTGATTTCAATAGGAATACAGGATTGACAGCGCTTTATAAGATTGGATCCATTGCACCACACATGGTCTGTCTCACAGATTTTCTATTAGAGCAGCAGCCTGCAACCAAACCTACAAGGCAGTGGGAACTTCAAAGGGTTTGAAAAGCCAGGAGCTCTGTACACTGAAATGATGGTTTTGTCTGACTGCCTTGCTCATTTAAACTCGCTCACCTGTGAATTGCAGCATTGCACACGCTGGAAAAGGAAGCATAAATGTCTGTGCCATAAACACGGTATTGTACATCTTGACATCCAGGAGGGCATTTTGCAATGAATTCTGGATTTATTATCTTCCCCGCCTTGACATCGCAATCGATCTGGGGTACATCTGTGAGTGCAAAATCTTGGTAAAGTCAGATTGAATGCTTTCATAACTGAGTGATCTTGTCATGAAACAATGAGTAACTGAGTGACAGGGATGCCCTCCTCTTATGCCTTCGTATCAATGGTTTTGGGATACAAGACATGTCTCTGTATTCTGCATCTACAATATAACACATAATAACCCCTATACCAAGGGATGTAGCTGTAGCTAAGGATGGAATAAAGAAGCCTGAGGATATTTCTGACCTTCAGTGTTTGCTTCTCTGAAGGAAATATCCATTATGACACTGCTGGAGAGAGAAAGAAATGTAGTCACCAGGCTGTGGTTAACGTGTGGGAAGGAGGGGGTAGGGGAAGAGGTGGCTATGAGTCAGGACAAGGAAGGACTGTGCACACAGGAGGCAGGATGCTTCCCAAGCCTCCCCCTGTGCTCATGTAGCTCCATGCCATCTATAATGCCAGGCTGCAGCCACAGCCCATTATCTTGTCCTTAAAACTATTTGCTGGGTACAATTTACTTTGAACAAGGGGTTTAAGCGTGAGTTCGCAACCCTGCAGCAGGCGTTTGTGAACTAAATGAGAAAAATGATCTGTGGACTGAAATGCTCTTACAGCAGTATAGTTGAAAGTTACACATCCTAGTGCATAGGACATGCACCACTTGTCTCATGCTAATCAGCTACATATGCTTTGTGTTACAGCAGGTCCATTTCACATATTTATGTCTCTTTCTCTTGAAAGCCTTAGTGCTTGCTTAGATCCTTGTGTGGTACCTAATGACCCATGAAGACACATTTTAGTAGTGAAGTACACAATTTCCCACATTTAGTCGTACACACTTTACTTAGTGATTTGATTTCAATAAAAGAATCTGTTAGTTAACGTATGCTCCCATTGACTCTACAAATGATTGTGAAGAGTTACCAGAATATAACCTCACTTCGCGCTTTTTTTATGCATCAGACATGCGTGCTGTAAAGCAGCCAAGAATACTGCTGGGACCACTTACATAGCTTAGCCTTTTTCGTCTTCTTTGTGGCTTCCTTAGCTGCGTATGTACATATAAGAAACACACCTAAAAGAAAGAAAACATAGTATTAGGAAAAAGGGGTATTATCAACATCAGTCACCACAAGGTCCTGTGCATGAGATTTCCCAAATTTGAATCAACAGGTTGAAAAAATGAAATGGGAATATTCTCAGCCACAGCTAGGTTTCTACTTGTTGGTTGACTTCGCAGTCAAGATGGCATCTACTCTGGGGCAGTTTTTTGAAGGGGATTAAAGATCAGTTCAGCTCACACATTCATCTGTGGAACCCGCTATCAAAACATGCCATTGAGTCCATGTGGTCCAGAAAACCACGAAAGGCCCCAGTATTTCCACAAGTGGTGGAAACTCTTTGTAATTGGTGTGAAAGAGATGTCAGTGAAACAACATGCTCTGTGCATAAAGCAACTGGGAAGTTAGGGAGAGAAAGATCCTTCTTAATAGCCTGGCAGGGAGGTTATCATGCGTTGTGGCATTTCACTCACTGGTGGTAACAGGTATGGGATACCGGGCAGCATTACGGACCGTATGAAGTTCTTGTGTGGCATGTCCCAGTATCCTGTCCCAGCAAGGGCACAGATTTTCTTCAGTAAATAGAATTATGATTTGAAAAGTGTAATAGTAAAAGAGACATACGCTGTTATGTTGAAACATACATCATAATATATGCATGTAGCTTACCTTGTTAGGTTTACTTGCTAAGTGCATGACATCCAAAACTTCTTCATTCTCTGTGCTTATTTTATAAGCACTATATTATGGGTAATGAATAACTTTGTTACAAATATCTTGACTTTCCTGTTCACCTTTCCCTTCTCTAAGCTTTCAGAGGGAATTGAAACTCTCTATGATGTGTTGGCTGATCCTCTCATCATTTGTTAAGTTAATCTTACTAGAATATGCAACAGCAGTCTTATTTCTTTCTTTTATGCTCTTCTCCCTCTAGACTGGTTGCAGAGAGTTGGCAGACTTAATCACTCCTAGAACTTGCTCAAAAGATAAATCAGTCTCACAGTGATTGAAGTGACAGTGTATAGATGCAGTATTGGGGCCTTTTGTCACTGGTGCAGTTGTGTAATCAAGGCAAAACTGTAGTTAGAAAAAAAAAGGAGCAAACCGGTGGAAAATAAAGTGCAAAGTCCAAACTGTATGCAATGTTAAGGCATAATTTAATGTGGAGAAAATAATTTGGTCTTTTAGTAAAAATGGAAGAACTACATAGGTACTATAAATTTGAACTAAGAATGGCTATTCTGCCAGACTTGAGGACCCCAGCTAGAGGGAATATTGCCTATTAAAGTCATACAGCACCATTAGGCTACATGGTGGCTGGATCTCCATCAAAGGGAAACATGTAAGTAAAGTATACTAAGAAATCATGCTTGATCAACCAGAGTGTTGATGTAAGATGAATTGCAAATTCTGGAGTCTCTACATGTTCCTGAAAAGCAGGATCCTGTCTGCCAGGGGAAAGAAAATAAGAGACATTTATAGCCTTTTTCCTTTGGCACCTTCTTGTTCACGGAAGGAGGAAGAAAACAGAGAAAAATTGGGAAGGGATGCTCCCACGTAAGAAACAGCTGATTTTTCTTTGGAGGGAATCTTTACATTACAGACATTTTTCAGGCCCAGTTGTGCCATCTGATATGGACTGCATGCAGCTGGTCATGTACTTAGAGATCTCTGCTAGTAATTAATATTGTTTCTATGCCAAAGTCAAGAAGTTTGGGTAGCCTGATTCTGAAAAGCTGTGCCAAGGTTTACTCCACCTGCCATTGACAGCTTCATCGGCCATGGAGTCCAAAGGGAAGAGAAGAAGCCGGCAGCCGCAGGTCAGTCAGGACAGGCGAGTACTAACCCACAAACTACTAATTGCAGCACATCAACTATACTTACCAAAGAAGGTTGCAATGACTGTGGCCTTCATGGTGAGTAAAGCAAAATCTGGATGTGTCACCGAGGAGCACTGAAAAGGAAAAGAAGAGTACATCAGGTTGCATTCGGAGGTATTGCAGATGACACTGGAACAGTGGGGGAAGAGGGACAGTGCACTCCTTCAACCTTTCACAGTCCTCACATGCTGCATCTTCTTCTCATGCTTTGTAGAGCAGCTGATGTCCCCAGAGACGCTGTTTGGGCTGTGGCACTCCCATGGACTAGTTTTTTACTTCTGTCCAAGATTTGCCTTTTGCCTCAGGAAACCAAGATTTCATTCCACACACTTATTTCTGAAGCCAGTGGCAGGAGAGGGCATGATGGGTATGGACAGGCTCTGACAGCTATTTAAGTTCATTCACTACTCTTCTAAGACATAATCACAGAATCGTATTGTCTGCACACCAAACTGCACCGTGTAATCTCATACAGATATGGGGAACATAAATCCGTTCACTCCTGAAGGACGTTGCGTAAAGTATCTTGCAATCGTACCATCGTTTGCGAGCCAAATTACTGGTTTCTTTCCTTTTCTGAGGAAGTGTGTATGTGTGTGCACACGCGCGAGCACTGGAGATTAAGAAGACTCTGTCAGAACATCTGGACATTTTTTTCTGCATATGTGGTTCCTGATCCCTGCCAACCCTGAAGCTCTTGGCCAGCCTACAAGAACACAAACTTATCAAAGATAACCCCTCTCAGCTCCTCCTGAATGTCACCTCCCATGCTGCTTTTGCAGTTATTTGGTGATTGTTGAGGGAATCCTGGGTTGGGCACTCATAATTAATCCCAGTCATTAAAATACTACAAGATGCTTGACAAATATCGGAGTAAAAAGTTTGAGAGGGAGAAAATATTTGTGTGTTGTATAGGAAAAACTCAAGGATCAAAATAAACTTTGTCATCAAAGAAACTGATTACATGCTTACAAATGGAAAGATTTGTACTAAAATAAAAATTAACTTGCTATCAAGGAAGAAAATAAGTGGAAAGTTAAAGCTGCAAATGATCAGGAAAAGCAAGATAGCTGCCTCCTGGAAAAATGGCAGTGGCAGATTTCACGTAGGAATTTGTGTACTCAGAACCAGGGCTTCGTCCGCCCCAGAAAGATACAGGAGAGAGAGAAAAAAATCTGCAATCTGTCTTCATATACAATGTTTCCACATTTTTTATTTTAATTGCTCTTCTTTTTCAAGCAAGACACATGCTTCTTGAGTGAGGATGACTAAAATGGTATGCTAGACTAAACTGAGTTCAGCCAGTTCTAGGCCTGTATAATTTATAACCTTTTTTACATGGACCAGCTGTACCTCTGATTTTTGCTTCTGTACTACAGTCAGAGAACTTCAAATGCCAGCACATACTAACAGTATCACTTCCTAATAGTACTATGTCTTTCCTTAATGATCTCCCTAAGACAGTCCTCCTGCTAGGCTGCTAAAGCTGCAAGCAACAGAGGTTGCTCAGAAGACACCAAACTGAATCCTGGGGAAGTGGAAAGTGGCTCAACACGGTGAGAGTGTTTTTCTGCAAAGCAATGGACAATGCAGTTGGGGTGACCCCAGACTGTACAAGCCATAGCAGCAAGAGCAGTTATGTGGTAATCTTCTGCTGTCACTGTTAGTTTCCATGAAAAAACCTTGCCCGTCTTCTGGAAGAAAAATCCGTTTTAAGCATTTACTGCAGTGTATTTCCACTGTGAAGCTGCTAAAGGAAATAGTAACAAGATGTAGAAGAGAGTTCAGAGGAACTTAGCTCAGATGCTTTTCTCTTCACTTAGATGTCTCAACACATCACCACGTCAGAGGTATCAAAAAATTGCCCCTCTGCAATGAGTTCTCACTTCAGGTCGATCCCAGAAAAAGAAGAGGCAGAATAAGAGTTGCAAGTCATTTGCAGAACCACCATGCACCATTAAAGCCTATACTGGCACTGACTTAGGCTTTGGAAAAGGCATCTTAATATGAGCATTCCCAAAATCTGCAGCGAATAAATTCAGCAGCGGCATCTTTATTTAAAGTCAAAGAGAGCTGTGAGAATTTGTCCTGATAGTATTTAGCTCGGTGCTGAGGTATTTTCATCTCCAGTTTAATTAGAGTAGAAAAGGTCTGAGATGGTAAAGGATCCATGTAAAAACTAGCTTCATGGGTGGGTTGCTGTCTTGCTTTGTGGAGAGAATCCAATACTACTTAACTTTTCCTGTCTCACAAAATGTGTAACCACCTGTACCACCACTGCTGCGCAAGACTTCTCATTGCTTTCCGAAGGTGCTGCCGTCCCCAAGCCCTGCTCTCCCTGGGCCAAGGCCAGCCGCCCCAGGAGCCATCCCAGTCCTCTTGGGTGGCACTACCTCAGGCTTGGCTGCAATTGCAATCTCTACCTAGTCTGCTGGTGGCATTGCTTTTCAAGGCAACAGAAAGTGGGCTTTTTTTCCCTAAAATATTATGAATTTCCTGCAGAAAGAGGCCAAGAAATCTAGAAGGAATTCATACGTAAAGCCTGTCGGGGGCAAATGAGTCCAGCAGACCCCTTAGCCTGCAATAACAGATATTTTATCAATAAGAGATTTAACAGAAGCATTTAGACAAGGCTGTTAGATTTACTTAACAGATTTGTTGTCATAGCTACACACAAAAGCATCCTATTGTGGATGCTGTACTTTTGCTGGTGCAGTTTATACTAGTATCCTGATGGAAATAAATTATAATAGTAAAGAAACTTATTTTTGCCACTACATTAATTTCTACATTAGGCACTGGCATGCCAGGAAAAATGCATAGACATCCTGTGACACAACTCTGGTGGCAACACTCTCAAGGGGGGTCCTGGCCTTCAGACCTCGGGCTGTCACATGGCGGAAAGCGCAGGAGGATTTACACTGCCGACCATTAAGTGTCTGGCTTAGAGGCTCCAAGCTTTCAGTTGTGGGAAGTCATTGTATCTGGGGCCTAGGCAGTCACCTGATTTAAGCTGTATGAGATCTATATTGTGCACTAGCATGGCATCCGCTACTTCAAACCGGTAAAGGAAGCAACAGCCTGGAATAAAACAGTGGGGTTTTTTGTTTCTCTGGGAAGGAAAGGGAAAGCAGGGCTCCAATCCATGCATTCGACAGGCTTTTTAGTCCGTGTAGATCCATTGGGAGGTTTGGGGATGTTTTATCTGTAGATAAAAAATGATACTTTGCTATTAAACACAAAGCTATTGTTCCTTTACCAAATGAATAGATCCCATTAAGACAAAACCAAAAGTTTCTACTTTGGGTTAGTCTGGAGTATGAGTTTTGCTGAGATTTCTCCTTATCAGGTTTCCATTAATGCAGTATTTTCAGTCCCAGTCAGTACTGGTAACTAGTGACCATTCTAATGGTCCTAAACTGTATGCTGGATCTTTGTTTATCAGAGTACATTTTCCCATCTGTACCCTTCAGACTGCTGTACCAGAAGCTACCCTTATTCCAGGAAAGCAGTTAAGTCTATGCATTACATTAACATGTGCTTAAATCCCAGCTAAGTCAACTACAAATGTAGTAAGAAGCACCTCCTTCAGTGTTTCCCAGTGCAGATCCTATTTTACCTTTTAAAATCAGATTTCTATTTGAAAGGATATTGATTACTTTATCCCAGCACAAATACTTGAAAAAGCTTGAATGTTAGGGAAGAGCAGAGTTAGCAAATTATTCTTTCTGCATATAAAGTAAGATTTTTATACTGACCTTTTTTTAGGAGCTTGACTTTTTAAAAGGTCTGAGAGAGCTGCTACATGCTACAAACAATCAGATCGTTTAAATCCATATAAATTGTCACTGTATGGCAAACTATATTATTTTCTGATGGAGGTGTAGGTTTTAAGTCCTTGATTTTTGGTGTCAGGCACTGCTGTCCATTCCACGTGCAAACCGAAATTCTTTGCTGGTGCCACGTGCTTTGTCTCTGTAGGAGTCAGCAGTTTATTTCCTGTAATCCCCCATGCTGCAGAAATTAATTTGTGTACTCTCTTTGTACCACAGTAGTGTGTGTTATTGTTCCCCTTCTCAAGGGGTTGTAATATCGCAGTAGCGCTGGCACACTGGCACCATAAAAAAACAGAAGTGGAGTTTGTTTGAAAGCTATCTGAGCAAGTAGCGTGGAGTTAACAACATGATCTCTAAGCACTGTGGGTTGAGTTAAATATGTGCCCTTTACAGGAAAATCAAGTGGGCTTGGTGTAGGTGTGAGCAAACTGGTTTGGGTAAACAAGAGCTGATCGTCATCTTCTAGAATAAAACATTTTAGATTTCTTTTTTGTTTTCTTCTGTCTCTTTTCAAAAACATTGTTTAACCTTTTCTTTGTTTCATGCTTATACTCTGTCCCCATGGTATTGTACCTTGCTCGGCAGTTCATTTTGGTGCACAGTAGGTAATATGGCTAAGACGTATCACACGCGATTTAGTTTCACCCCCTTTCTTGTCAGAGGGATTGCCGCCTGCTGCCGGCGAGTATCGACTTTTTCCCATCCCCCGTCTTTTGGCTCAAGCAGATGTACCGTACGGGGCAATGCCGGCTGCATTGACTAGTGGGCTGAAGTAGCAGTTATTTTTCAGGCGTTGTATTGTTGGTGACGTTATAAGCATCCCTTGCTGTTTGTGTTTTACAGGTGGTGCGCAAGCCTCAGTGTGGCAGCCCAAAATGACGGACGCCGGTGGCAACTGCCGACCTCTCTAAGCCCTGTGACGATGCGTCTTGTTCTGTCAGAACCTTTGCCGAAGCCATCTTTGTGCTCCGCAGCAGTCTGGTTTTTTCCTGTCTTATAGTACGGTTCTATTCGGTCTCTGGTACCCCAAAGACGTCTGTCGCCGGCTCAGACCTCCTCTTGGGTTT